AATCACAAATGGTTTACAATATTATAAAGCAAATATTGAAGTTTTTCGAGTGCACGTGTACTTTACTTAAAGTAATGAACTATAATATTTATATTTTGTTACAAAAGTTTGTTACTTACTTTTTATATTCAACATTTCGCACGATTTATTTCTACTGGTTATTTTTCTAAAAACATTTGCTAAATGTATAAGTTGTTNCTAATTTTGCAATTTGAAAAAGCAAAATATAGTTATTGAAAATAATTATATAATTTAATACAATATCATATTTAATACAATTTTCCAAACCATTGGACTCAGCTTATTACATTTTATAATATAAAATGTCGCTTTATTTCGGCGTACCTGAAACACTATGTGAAATTTATATGTATAAATATAATGCCTTTGTTCGATTTATTTCTTATGTTCTATGTAGTAGATGTATTAATACTGAAAGTCCTGAAAAAGTAACTAAGAATTAATGAAACATATACAAACTTCTCTTCTGAATTATGTAATCACGAACAAAAATCAGTTTCTTTTATACAAAAAAGAAGGAGGTATACAAATTTTCTGAAATAGTGAATTCCAAAAAATTTCCTGCATAGAAAATATTTGTTGGTCCTGAAAAGGACCGTTTAAATGAAGCCGATGCGTGTCAGATTATTTGGAACTGGTGTATTTGGTGACTGCCTTGGTGCCTTCACTCACAGCGTGCTTTGCCAATTCCCCAGGAAGTAGAAGCCTTACTGCCGTCTGGATTTCCCGAGAAGTTATTGTAGAACGCTTGTTGTAATGCGCCAGTCTCGATGCCTCGGCAGCAATGCGTTCAAACACATCATTCACAAAACTGTTCATGATGCTCATAGCTTTGCTGGAGATTCCAGTGTCAGGATGAACTTGTTTGAGCACCTTGTAGATGTAGATTGCGTAGCTTTCCTTCCTCCTTCTCTTCTTTTTCTTATCGGTTTTATTAATGTTCTTCTGGGCTTTGCCAGCCTTCTTCACGGCTTTACCACTGACTTTCGGCGGCATAGTAACAATTTAACGAATTTTTCTTAGATCGAGAAAACTAACAATGCGTTTTGAACTCGTTGAGAGCTGGAGATTAGTAACGGCCACACGTTCGCTCCCGCTTTTATATACTTTCTGTGACCCAGCGCTGCACCAATCAGAGGCCACCGTCGGCTTCCTCTAACCTGATTGGTGGAACGCTGGCCGCGTAGAATTCTCACAATGCAATTGATTTTATATACTATACTTCACGACGTGAGCAATAAATCTCTAAAGCTTTCATTTAAGAATTGTAAATACAATATTTTGACTATGACAAATTGTTGTTTGAAATTTTAATTATATAAATAATTGAAGATAATAATTATTTTTGATTTTATAATACAATCACGTATTTAGAACGTATTCATATACACATTCTTTTATTGTATACAATTCTAATTATGTTTTCCAATTATATATTGTAATTATTCTCTTTTGTAACCCATTGTATTGAGATGTTGCAAAAGTAATTTTGGTTATCCAAATAGATGCAACAACTCAATAGTTTTGTAAACACATAAAGGTAAATGATTTCTAAAATAATTATTATCTTCAATTATTTATATAATTAAAATTTCAAACAACAATTTGTCATAGTCAAAATATTGTATTTACAATTCTTAAATGAAAGCTTTAGAGATTTATTGCTCACGTCGTGAAGTATAGTATATAAAATCAATTGCATTGTGAGAATTCTACGCGGCCAGCGTTCCACCAATCAGGTTAGAGGAAGCCGACGGTGGCCTCTGATTGGTGCAGCGCTGGGTCACAGAAAGTATATAAAAGCGGGAGCGAACGTGTGGCCGTTACTAATCTCCAGCTCTCAACGAGTTCAAAACGCATTGTTAGTTTTCTCGATCTAAGAAAAATTCGTTAAATTGTTACTATGCCGCCGAAAGTCAGTGGTAAAGCCGTGAAGAAGGCTGGCAAAGCCCAGAAGAACATTAATAAAACCGATAAGAAAAAGAAGAGAAGGAGGAAGGAAAGCTACGCAATCTACATCTACAAGGTGCTCAAACAAGTTCATCCTGACACTGGAATCTCCAGCAAAGCTATGAGCATCATGAACAGTTTTGTGAATGATGTGTTTGAACGCATTGCTGCCGAGGCATCGAGACTGGCGCATTACAACAAGCGTTCTACAATAACTTCTCGGGAAATCCAGACGGCAGTAAGGCTTCTACTTCCTGGGGAATTGGCAAAGCACGCTGTGAGTGAAGGCACCAAGGCAGTCACCAAATACACCAGTTCCAAATAATCTGACACGCATCGGCTTCATTTAAACGGTCCTTTTCAGGACCAACAAATATTTTCTATGCAGGAAATTTTTTGGAATTCACTATTTCAGAAAATTTGTATACCTCCTTCTTTTTTGTATAAAAGAAACTGATTTTTGTTCGTGATTACATAATTCAGAAGAGAAGTTTGTATATGTTTCATTAATTCTTAGTTACTTTTTCAGGACTTTCAGTATTAATACATCTACTACATAGAACATAAGAAATAAATCGAACAAAGGCATTATATTTATACATATAAATTTCACATAGTGTTTCAGGTACGCCGAAATAAAGCGACATTTTATATTATAAAATGTAATAAGCTGAGTCCAATGGTTTGGAAAATTGTATTAAATATGATATTGTATTAAATTATATAATTATTTTCAATAACTATATTTTGCTTTTTCAAATTGCAAAATTAGCGACCCACAGCTGAGCAGTACCATCCGGAGGCGCACATCTGAGGTGCACGTGTTGTTAATGAATATGCATTTCCCCATATTTTATCATACTACATACTACATTTATCATACATAACAAATTTGACATATTTTTCGAATAAAATTTATAAAAATACCTACCTTTAGTTTCGCAAATATGGAGCAGCCTGTAATAATAAGATTTACTCAAAATGATTGATTAAAGGTTCGTCTAATCTAATTTTAAAGGTCCCTCCTGTGTTGTGGACGATTCTTTGTACAATAACGTTTATTTTTTTTTTTATTACATAATGGTAAAGGAAGTTATCGAATAGAGCAAATAAAAAAGGAAAAAATATATCAACGAAAGATATTCTTTTCCTTATCATAAGTCGTAACGTTCAAGCATGTATTTCAAAGGATTCACTAGATCATTTCCACCTTTGCAACCCTTTCCACTCGATTTGCAGGAAACAATCTAGAAATAAATTGTGGATCGATATTATTATGTGTACAGTATAAGAAAAATTATAATTTCTCTCCCAAAAGGATGAAATACGGACACGCGGTCGGAGAAGTATGTTATTACACCCTTTGTGATAATTTCTTTAATTTTTATCAAGGATAGAAATATATATATATAAATTTTAAGGATTTCAAGGGTAAAGAGAAGAAAACTGACGTCCAATTAGAGGAACTTATATACTGCGAATAAAAATGAAGAAATAACTGGTGGCAGATGGTCAATGTTACACCAGCAACGAAATCTTGCATGCAATGGTATGTCTGGAAACATCGGTCGGGGCGTGAAATATTTCTGGTCACTGCCAAGGATCGGGACGGCTGCTAGTTCATGGCAGTGATCGATTTTGCCGGGGCCACGGTCAATTGTCGTCGAGTTCGAAAAAGTACCATTATCATTGACGCTTCCGTTTGGTGGCTGAAACGAATAATTACTTCTACTAATAAAATTGATCAATTTCTGGTCAGTGAGAGTTAACACAAGCAATTTGTATAAACCAAATTCGATTGATCGTCTTACGTTCGTTTCAATTTTTAACAAAGACAAGGCTAAGAAGGTCCGAAGCAGCCACATTAGCAACCTTCTGCTATACCATTCGCGTGTGCTTCGAGCTTCTGAGCTAGCCAAGGAACATATCCGAATAGCACAAACCGATTTTTTATGAAACTTATGCGAGGGATAGTTTTTAGAAAAATATTCCATCCGTACTTGTTTCATTAGCAACCGTCCGCAACGAAGTGGTGAAAACAATTCATAAAGATGAAGGTCCAAAACTGAAATATGGTAGCCATCGCGTGATTATTCAAAATGTATCATGAAAATCTTCTATTTGTTTAATTATTCGTATCTATCGCGCGCGTCCTTCGCATTAGAGAAGATGTCGATAAATATGAAATGTAAAAATCAAAATTCTATTTTATCCGTCATTTATTAATATAGTTTTTAAAGAAATTAATATATGTGAAATCGAGATGTGTAGCTGGAATCCTTATTAAAAAATACACAACGTTGCAATTTGAATCATCCTCCTAGTTCCGATTGTTGCTGAGATATTGGAGCAAATATGGTTCCTACACCCAACATCGAGGGGGTTGTTTTCACCCCTTTAACGTGATTGAGAACCGATAAGAAAATACAGGTCAAATATTTTTCTGAGAAATACCATTTTCGAAAACTTGAAAATCGGCGTGCATCATTTCGGATATTTCCTTTGTAATAACTATCCCTGGTCGTAAGTTTTGTCAAAATCGACTAGCATAATTTCAACACGTTCCCTTGCGAGATACAACGTGACGGAATGTAAAGTTCACTAGTGCCAACGAATAACCACGCGGGAAATGAACGCACCATCGATTCAAAATTACTTCTTATATTTCAATAATCCGATCCGTTACTCAATATACATCGAAAGAAACATCGAGTGCAAAGGGTTTGCTTATCGTACTAGCCTCGTTATAGGACTGACTTATTTTGCCACAGAACACCGAAAGCGTTACATACAACGTGTTGTCCCCTCTCTTCTTTTATTTCCTTTCTCTCTTTCTCTCTTTCACATCACATGTTTTCACTTCCGGTGAGGACGAGAGGCAGTTCTTCGTCAACGGAACCAGCATTCCACTTCCGACGCATTTGCACGAAATTCACGACACGATCCAGCGGTACACACAACACTCACGCACAGACGCACACGCGCAATCGCATCTCATTCTTTCCCCATGTATACGTACATCTGAAATATTTCATCGGCTCCGCTCCCCCACAACTCGTGTTAACCCTCGGACGGCTACTTTGAATCTGGATGTCGAGAAAGCAATGGAACAGCGAGTGCTTCACGAATCGCGACGTCATGCGGGCAAATAATAAAATGTAGAAAATTAAAACGGACATGATCACGGCCAGCCGTGTAGATAATACTTCAAAGGACTGCCCTTCGTAGCACCCTTGGCACAATATGTAGACATTTGTAGATTATTTCTTATACATTCGTCGCTATATATATATATTATACATTATATATATATATAATGTATAATGTATAATGTATAATGTATAATGTATAATGTATAATGTATAATATATAATATATGATATATATGATATAGAATATATGTTATGTGATATATAATATATAATATATAATATACAGTATATAATATATATATATAATATATAATCGTTCGTTCAATGCGATATCTTTAGAAGTATTCCGCGCCACGTAAAAGAAATCTGCCCTCGCATTGGAATGTTCGATCGATTTCCAACACCGGAATTCAGCACTTCGAACGGAGCGTCTCGGGTTCGCGCTCGAGATTAATCGATCGCTAATGAAGAACCACTAAAGTAACTAAACGAAAATCAAAGGAACAGTGTATGTATACGCTTTACAGATAAAACATTGATTTATTATCTTTTAAGCAGCGAACATGTTTACGTCTGTGGACACCGTACAAAAGAAAGTTTCGGGGAAAGTTTCTCGGCTGCGGGGCGAACGGTTTTAAGCAGCGTCGGAAAGGGTGGGCCTACCGAAGGTTAAGGGTATCGAGTCGAAATATTTGAACACGTTACAGTTGCGCGTGTTTAAATGCCGATCGGTAAACACGTTCCATCGTCGGAA